GAATTTAAGATTATTCGATCTGAAATGATTTAATAATTATATTATTAATTTGATATGTCATTGTTATCCAAATAAAGACTTAATCATATATCTGAATTAAGATAGAGTTATTGCTAATTGAAAGGAACATTTTATTAATGTTTTTTTTATTTTATAGATTGAACTTTTGAAATGGTTCCTTGGAAGATAATTAAATAAAGTAATGATTTTTTTGCTAATTACAAAAAACATTTATTAATGATTTTTTTTATGTAGGCTGAACCTTTATATTTATAAATATTTTTTTTTTATTTTTATTTAATCTAATAAATTTGATTAATATCTTTGTCAAAATTATAAATTATATATATTTATGTATTTAATAATTATTGTAATATGTATAGAAGATTAATTTTATATTAATAAATTAATTGTAGACTTGCGGATTAATTGTGAATTTGCAGATATTGCAGAATTATTTTTTTAAAATTCATAATAGTTGCAACCTAAAATCTGAAACTTAATCTGCAACTTATACGTTGCAGAGCCATCTTTAAAAGTAACAGATAAAAAATCAAAACTGTTTGATAAATTTAAAAGTGATAATTTCTCTGTTTCAAGAATTGGTAAATCATTAAATGTAGTAGAAGATGATATAGGTATAGAAGGTACGGTAGAGGATACTGTAGAAGATACAGTAGAAGAGGATTTTAATTTTTGTATTTTACAATAAGCCTTTACCATTACATGAAAAATATAATAAATAATAAAAAGTTTTGTTTATATCTATTTTATATCCAAACTTTTCTATACTATCTTTTACTTTTTTTGTATAAACTTCATTATTATTATCTAAACTATTAATACAACTTCTAAAAAACTTAACTACATTTGTTCTATTCTTTTTGTTTTATTGATTTATCACAGTTATAAGTATTTACTATTAAAATTTTAGCACAGTATATACATTTCATACAAAAAAAAATTCATAAATTTTACAGGTACTATGTGTTTTCATTATCAAGGAGGTTACGATAAATGTCATGGTAATGATAAAGCAACAATATTCATATTATAACATATATACATGAATTTGTGCACGAATTGATCATCACATGATTCAGAATATACTTGGATGATTGAGATGAAATTTGTTATTATCGCTTATTTGAGATGTTTTGAAAAAATAAAATAAAAAAGAACACAAATGGATAAACTATATAATAAAGTGGAATCCATAGGGGTGATGGTCAGGGTGGTGGTGGTAAAATATGTATTTTTTTTGCATAATTTTCATAAAATTCAAAGGAATTTTTATCTCTAATAAAAGTTACTCAATTTTCATCCAATTGCTATATTTAAATAATTAGAAAAGAATAAAATTGTAGATGATATACAGAATTTTATTTGCAAGATTTGATCAAGTTTTACATATGCATTTTGTGCATATTAATTAGATGCATATCAAATGATTGTGCAGGTTTTATTTAAAACCTTAAGGCAACATATGTGTAGGAATCTTTTAATTATCTTTGCACATTTTAAAAAATGTCTGCACTTGTGCAGGCTAATTTTAAACACTGCTTTTGGGCTCAGTTAAAAACACGGTCATTGCCTTCAAGATTAGTGACATCTTATCATTGATTTACGATTTTCTTTTAGTAAAAGGAATCGTACATATTTCTGAAACAGAATCAGATACAAGTTCCGATTACGATTCTATGTGGAAACGAGGTAAGTAATATCCAATGTATTTCTTTACGAAACAATTACTTATTGACATTCATTTTTCAATTATGATTAAGGTAAAGTGAAAATCTATAGCTAAAACTCAGTCCATGGATAATTTAAACTGAATTAAATCGAAGAAAATTAATGTATTCATTTTCTTAAAACTAATAATTAAATCGAGAAATCAAGAAAAAATAAATATTATATAATGAACTAAAAATTGTATATCTATACTTAATAACTCTCGAATTTATTCTAAATATATTTTAATATTCACATAAATTCATTATTATTATTAATAACATATACTTGTGTATAAAGTAATTATGTAACAAATAACAAATAGAATCTTTTTCTATCCGATGACAAAAATAAATATCAATAATTTAGCTGTTCTTCATCTTTATATATTTTATTAGTTCTCTTATTATCATCTGATTTATGATTATCTTCGGTATCGCTATCGCCATCACCATCTGAATCAATAAATTGTTCCCTATTAAGTATTTAAAGGTATTAGATCCTTCAAATGAACAATAGTAAAAAATTATACAAAATTACTTACACTTCGGTATCTACTTTAGTATGCCGGAATTTCTTCATAATTTTTCCTCGAAATATGAATACAGCCAATCCAATTACACCAATAATTACTATTATAAGTGTTGTAGTACCACTAACCAAAAAAAAAAAATTTAATATTAATTAATAGGTTAGTATCATCAAAAACCACAAATTAAATATAGCATTTTCTTACGCATCATAATAACGATTCCAAATTTCTTGTTCATTTCCAGAATCTGAATCATGCTGTTTATCGTTATTGAGTTCCTATAAATTAAAACAAAAAATTTTTTTTTTTTGTATTTAAATTATGCCTCACCCTTATAATGATTGAAAAAAAATGTCGATTACATAAGCTTACTTCTGACTCAATCCTTGATGGAAATTTTTCTATATGATGATCCAATCCCATAAATCTATACATCATATCCATAGTTACAAGAGGAACATCATATGGTACCATATGACTTGCGTTAAATACTTTAACGTATGTAAGATTTCTTTCTGTGACAATATTCCCAGCAAGAGTATCATTAACATACCAAAGTAATTTTGTATTATTCTACAATAAAAATAATTATTAAATAATTTTAAATGAATGAAAACACAAACTTATTTGATTTGAAATTACCTGAAATCCTTTGTAACCATTCCATTCTAAGTTACCTATTAATGCCTCAGTGCCCATATAATTGCAAATTATATCTTGGTCTCCACTATTTTTAAAAAAAAATAAAATAAATAATTTATATAATTTGCACTTCAACAAAGGAAAATATACAAACCTGAATAATAATACATTGATTTGTTGTAAAATTTCAGGAAACAACTATTAATTAATAACTGAATTAATAACTCATATAATTTTTAAAAAAGAATATAAATGAATGTACATACAGTTATAGAAGGTGGGCTTTTATCACCATCGAATCCCATGCCAACTGTAGAACTACATTCTACCCATAAGTCTTTTCTCTTAGTTGCGTGAAGAGATTTAACAACGTCAGGTCTCTAATACGCATAAAATTAATATATATCTATTTTTTAGGAGAATAATAAGTTATTGAAATCATAAATAAGAGAGAAAGTAATTACACGCAAATATTTATAGACAGTTGCTAGTTCGTAAGGCCACTTAAGCCCACAAGAAGGATATGAATCAGAATGATCTCGGATATCGTATTGATTTATACACGTCTCAACTTTCCCAACACTATATATACAATATTTTAGATGATTTTTTTTTTTAATAATAAAATTAAATTAATTTATACTAAATTTACATACCGTTTCCGCGAGTTCTGCAAAATTATAGCAAGAATTTCCTCACATACATCGGACTTTATATTAGATGATCCTTTTAAAGCATCGTTACATACTTTTAATTGTGACTCCGCAAGATTCTAAAGAAAGGAGAAAGTAAATTTAAAACATTGCCAATAACTAAAAAATGTGTGTTACGAGAATGCCATACTTTATAATTCCCGTTTAGGAGTCTATTAGCCATTGCATAATTATAATATGAACTATACTGATTATAAAATATAATTTATGGTTAAACATATATTACAACTTTATGTAAAAACCATTTAATTTTTATACGTACTTGTGAATTAGGATCAATCCATCCATTTCCGATCGCTATTCCTCGTAAATTATACTAAAAAGAAAGTTTAAAAGATATTACTAAAATAAATAAATAAATAAATAAAGTTCGAATTACCTTTTGATAATCAGGTGTTTTCCTTTCATTATTACGTTTCAATATTCCATTTGCTATGTATGGTATGAATGTCCCAGCAAAGCTCTCTCCGGCCAAATACATCTAAATTTTAGATAATATTTAATAAATTGTAATTCGATAGCCTATCATATTAAATCAATTAAGCAATTTTACATCATCTTGAGAATATTCTGGAAAAACTTCAAAAAATCTATCAAGAAACGATAAGAATTGTTGCGGGACTTGAGTCATGTTCTTCACATAAGAGCCGTGATTTGTGAAACTAAATCCTGTTCCTACAGGCTGATCAACTTTTGAAATAATTTATTAAGAATGAGTTTATATTGAATACCGAAAATATAATCATTAATTATACCTACCATACAACACATTAGCAAACTCATTCCATGCTCCATTTAAAGGTTTCAACGTTTGATCTTCATTAACCCTAAAAGGACCAGTCTCAAGAAATACACCATCCATACTAAATACAAAGAAATTTTGTTAAATTAAATTTATTTTATTTGGGTAAACAACAAAAGATAATTATTACCTTGAGCTAAGTTTGTGAAAATATGTGAAATAGGAAAATTTAATTATTTTACATAAGATAAAATGATAGTGCACATAATAACTTCAACTTACCAACCGGGACCTAATCAGCGATTTTAAAGATTTAATTACGTTTAAAACTTTATATTCAACATTTAAGATAAACTTTATAACATACCTCCATTGAGCCAAATAATCTAATTAAATTAGCATTCAAAATTGTAATTTTAGGTTAATAATTCTTTATATTAAGATTAAGTATAAAAATAGTTAAATTAAATAACTAACTAATTTAGGTTTATTAGCAATATGCCGATTATGCATTAACCAAAAGAATATATTAGATTCTTCTAGTTCATCTATTGTTATGTGTCTAAATTTAAAACATAAAAGTTAGTAAATCGAAAAGGATCTGTTTTTAAAAATAAATATGTATATCGTACCCAGCATGTGACTTCAAATTTACATGATCCGGAAGACCAGGTAGTGATCTCACATAATAATCTGCAGCTAAGGTGAAAATCGAGTAATAAATGCAAAGTCCTTTTTCAAATTTCAAATATTAAAAAACATAAATATAATATAAACCAGTTGCTGCTTCAGAAACATTTGTAAAAGCGATGGTGGCCAGCCCTATTGTAAGGGCCAGAGCTTTAAGTTTAAACTTCATCCTTGGAAAAGAGTGAAATATAATAATTACATCCGATAACTGATGTAGAATTAAATTGTCGTGACACTTTTCTATTTTTGAAAAACAAACCTGAATTAGGTAAGCTATATGCATGTGATCGATGGAATAAGTTTTACGAATTTTAATTTTATTAAAAAAAAAATGGAATTAGTTAACTTTGAGCAAGTAAAACGCTTTATTGAAGAAGGCACAAAACAATGTCTTGAGGTGCCTTTTTTTTAAAAAATTTCAATGCTTTATTCTTAACTCTTTCCTAAAAGCTATTTTCACAATAAAGAAACTTAAACAAGATCCTTCAGACTATGAGAGCCATTCTGTACTTTCAACTATACTTAATGCAAATTTATCTGCACCTACAAATTACTCAGAGAAAGAACAAGCTGAGTTATTAATTTGCTTAAAGTGTTCAATTCTACCATTAAACGAAGAAGATGAAAAGGTATCTTTTTATTTATAGAAATCTTTTTTAAACTACATATATAAATTCCAATGAAGTTTTTTTTTTAGATCAAACTTTTAAAACAAATTTCTTGGGATGTGTTTACTTTGATGATACCTTTTCTTTCATTATCAGATTCAGTCTCAAGTATTACACAAGAAATTGTTCAAAGCATCGCACAACACAACAATGCACGAGAGACACATATGATGATTATGGAAAGGTTTAGTTGGCTTGAATGGAAGAGTCAACATTGCTCTACAATGGAATTTAGCTGTTTAATTAAAGTTCTAAGAACAGGTTACGTGGTTCCTATATTCGTATCAATAATGAACCAAGTAGTATTTACAATATTACATTTACTGATGATATTTTTAGTTCTCAATCGATTGGATAGAAGAATTTTGATCAAATTTCTACCAGAAACGGTTCAAGCTGTTATTCGCGTTTGGTCGGCGCTGGATGAACTTGATAATATACATAGTGATATTGTTACTGATAGTTTAATCCAATTCGTTGAAATCATAGCAGAACTGATGGAAGTTGAAAAAAAGGTCAGAATGGTTAAATAAATTTGTGTAATTAATTAACGTCATTAATTTTTAATAAATTTTCTCTTCTTCTTCTTTCATATTAGGAACTTAAACTTGATTTTACACGAAATAATCAAGAATATTATTTATCGAATTATTTGATTATCACTTCATTTGAGAAATTTATTCGATCCACTCATATTCCTTTGTCTCCCGCATATTTTGAGATATACCACCCCAAATTTCACGTTTTATGGGAACGTAAACAGAGTACAGGTATCCGAACTATTGATAAAACAAGACTTATGAGATTAGTAGTAAGTAGATTTAAAGGATTTAATAATATTTATACCCAAAATAACCAACTATTCTTTTATCAGCAAGCTTCTATAAAAGCCCATATCTCTATAGATCAACTTGTAAATTATATTAATAATTCAATTAAGGAGCCAACTGGTAATAAGATTTGAATTATGATTTTACCATAATTATTGAAAATTTATTAAATTACTTTCATGCCTATTTAAGTTAGCGAACAAAAAGACAGCACATTTTCTACTAAAGATTTTCCTATTTCATCAAGCGGCATTTTAGTGTATGTGGCAGGTGTTATATATTATCAATTTATGCACCAAGACGACTCCTTCGTAGAAAAATCTGTAATTCCTTTGTCTCCTGAATGGTTGTTCAAAAATATTGTTTCTATTGCTTCAAAATATCTATCAAGGTAATAATTTAAAAATGCGTTTCGCAACCTATCTAATTTTAACTAATGCAAATATCATTGTTTATAGCGATCCTAATGAACTTGAAATGTCGGATAAGACTTTACTTGTGTTATTATATTTGACTGAGAGAAATGAAGAAAGTACGGTTTCTTCAGACCATCTGGAGGCTAAATTGTCCAAAGATGGAACAACTTTAACACATTTATATCAAGTTATCAGTGTATTTGCATCAACTTCACCAGATGAAACTTTACGTTTCATTTCCTTTAAATTACTTTCGCGTTTAATAACGTTATGTAAAGATGATGCTAGGATTTTCTTATTACGTGAATTGTTAACAAATTGTCCATTTGAGACCATGAAAAGTGCTGCGATTGGGATTGTAAAGGAAAATGTTGCTCAAGGATTAAATAAAACATATGAAAGTAGATCTATTAATAAGGTAAGTAAATAAATAAGTTTATCGCTTCTTTTTGGATGTTTTTACTTAAAGGTCATCATTATCATTTGCCATAGTCTGCCATTTCTGTTTTTGCCAGCAGATTCATTATTGAAACTTTCTTTCCACATATACTTCGATTTGAATCACCTTCAATACTGGAAAATGAAAAAGAATTTACAGAAAAGTATAGTTTTATTATGCAAGGATTAAACTTTTATCTTTTTTTATTAATGAGGGATAATGAGAATTTAGTATGATTTTATTTAATAATTGCTAATTTATTTAGTATATTTTTTTTTACTCATTGGGTTTTTTTTATTTAGACTGGAGTATGGGATAATAAACAGATAAATGAAACAAATAAAGAATATATAGAACCAATAAAAAAGAAATGCGATATCTTGACAATTGAATTCGGCAAAAAATTTGAGAAATTGAATAAAAATGTTCGAGGTAAGTTGGTTTATTGTGCAATTATGCAATTAGACAGTTTTTTTAATAAATAATTAAATCTTATATCATTTTAGAAATACCTCATAATCAAGATGATATTTTATCAAATTTTTCTGAAAAAATACAATCAAATACAATAGAATTAAATCTGTTATTAGATGAAAATAATATTAATGATATATATTTAACTTCATCTCAAGAATTAATGGTATAATTAATTATATTATAATCCTTTAATATTAATATATTTACTTTAATATTAATATATTTAATATAAATTTATAGATATTGCAATCTAATCTATTTAATATATATCTTATACAAGATGCTATTAATAGAATTCAACAAATTTTAGCAAAATAATTTTATAAAAAAATATTTTAAATATATAAATATATTGTAAATAAATAAAATAAAATTATTTAAACAATATTATTAATATGATATATAATAATAATTAGAATTCTAAGTCAAATAAATTTTAATATTTAATTGAATTATAAATTATTAATAATTTTTCAGTCATATTTAGTCGCAATATTTTTTATAGTAATTTTATTATAAAATATTTTCAGTTATATTTAGTTGCAATTTATTAATGATTCATAAATTATGAAATTAGTTATAAATCAAAACTAATTAAATAATTAATTATTTTTGTATATTAAGCAGATATAAATAAAATATTTATTATTATTTAATATTAAATTTGTTTAATATATCAAAAGTTAATTTTTAATGTTAAAATAATTGATTTAACAATATTTTAGATTATTTAAATCAAATTATTATAAAATAAATTTATTTGTTTGTTATAAGACTTTAATATTAATATATATGGAAGGTGATCAGTAGAAAAGGGTAAAATTCAAAATTTTTGTTAATTTTTATTATTAAGCTAAATTTGTGCACATGATCAAGATCAACCAAGTAGTCCAATAATATAAATTTTGACCAAAATTTGGATTTTCTCTTTTCTACTGATTACTTCCCATATATTAGATAAGAAAAAAAATGTTTTTCTCAATTCTTTTTTAATTTTATTTTAGTTTTCCTATTGTAAATTAAAAATTAGAAATATTAATTTAAATTTATATAAATAGAATATATAATAATCAATTATCAAATAAATTCAATTTATAATATTATTAATTTGTAATAATCTAATTTAAAATTGGTTTGAAGTTAGTTCTAAATTTAGAATCTATTAAATTAAAATTAGATAATAAATTAAATATTATTATAGATTTTGAAATAAGCTTATAATTATAAAAATATAATCATTTTATTATTCTTTACTAATTTGAAATTATATTTACTTTAACTTTTATAATATAATTAAGATTTTATTTTGACAATGAATATTTATATAAAATTACAATTATTTATATGATATTTTTTATTTATATATACTTTTATTAATTATAGTATTTATAGTATATATAAATATAATATTAAAAAAATTATCATTCTTATCTTTATTATTATAAGTAAATTTAATTTATAATTTTTAATATTTTTATAATAACAAAAAAAGTTTTAGTATTATATAAATAAAATAATATGATAAAACTTTCTATAACTTTTTAATATTAAATATTTTTCAAATTAAAAGATTGTTTAAAATTAAATAAAATTATGAGATCTAATAAATTTTTGATTAGTATTACATATTAAAATTAATTATATAATAAATAATTTGTAACAGATAAGATTTATATATTAAAAAAATTACAATTTTTTAAAATATATAGTAAAATTGATCAAACAAAGAGTGTAATATAATTTAATGAATTATATATGTACTATATACTAGTTAAAATTATTTCTTTTAGTATTAACATCTTTTAGTAAATATTCATATAATTTAATCATATAATTTAAAAAAAATTTGACTTAATGTTACGTTCAGATCTTTATATTGCTTAAATGTTATAAGCAGACAGATAATATATGTGGTAAGCAGAAGGTATAATTTATAGTTGAGATGAATTAAGATTGTAGGTATCAATAGTTATTTGATATATATAGCATAGCAGTCATGCTTAATTTTATCACATTTTGCAGATCATTTTGCCAATCATTTGCTGATCATTTTTCATTTTATCACATATAATAAAAATGATTTTTATTTAAGTTAATTAGCTCTGATTGAAAATTCCTACATAATAATATACATTAAAATTTTACATATAGCTAAACGTTATTACCATGTATTATAATATCAAATTT